AGAAGTAGTAGTAATAGTAGTAGTAGTAGTAGTAGTAGTAGCAGTAGCAGCAGCAGCAGTAGTAGCAGTAGCAGTAGCAGTAGCAGTAGCAGTAGCAGTAGCAGTAGCAGTAGCAGTAGCATAGCAGTAGCCAGTAGCAGTAGCAGTAGCAGTAGCAGTAGCAGCAGTAGTAGTAGTAGTAGTAGCAGCAGCAGCAGCAGTAATAATACTTCTTGTTATGAAGGAGGTTTGGTGGATCATATATGGGGTCAGCGAGGTCTGCAGTGTTTTTAGTTCTTTGGAATATGTTGAATACGATTCCTGTGTGATAATTCACATAACTCAAGACCTGATTTTAAACGCCCAGGCCCCTACGCGATGTCATTATGTACTCAAATAGCGATTATTGCTCGAAACAGATGCGAACATGGCTAAGAACGCCGTGCGCTTAGAAAGCTTGTTGTGGGTGAGTAGGTGTCGGGGACACCACAAGCTAAAAGAAGAGCCATTGTGCTCTGACGCGGGGGTGAAGACCAAGCCCCAAGCAGCTTGGATTCTCAGAGACAGTGGAAAGACGTTGTTCTTTTCAGGGCTCCCTCATGCACGCTCCTGGTAGCAAGAAACTATTCAAGATGCTTTATTACTGGGGGTGGCCATGGTCGCGCAGAACCCTCCCTAGGTGGCTGACACGTGGCACACTTATCTTGGAGACAGCAATGCCCCTGATTTCCGCCAAGAGGTGGAAGGTGCATGCAACGATTCACACGGTTCGGATTTTAGGATTTAGTGTTTGGCTGTGTAGGGTTTACGTTTTGAATGCTCACCCCATGCCATGCATTTGGATCTAGTCAGGTTCCTAGGGCCTTTGGCATCCTGAGCAGCAAGTCCTGCCGGCTCCAAGGTGTAGAGTCCCGTGCTTCTGTGCAGTCAGGTTATGGGCTTGTTCTCCTAGCTGTCTTTGCAAGAGGCCATGTTGCACCACGCAAGAAACACTCTAAGGACACCTAGGCAGATAGTCAGCGACTTCAGGATTTGTATTCTAAGTCCAGGGTCCAGGGGTCTTGAATATGATATCCATTTGCTTATTTTGATCGGAATAAGCAGCTACGCTAGTAGCTTTATGCCACAGGGTTCTTCGGCAGCTGTAGCCGAGTGTACTCTTCTGTGGGTTCTACTTAGCACGACCTAATGGGTCTCTGGTGCTTTAGCATGTCACACCACATGGAGACAACGACCAATGACGCAGCAAACGTCGGCGATCACACTTTGGCGCTGTCTCGTGCTTTATGCTGGGGATGGTCAGTGCAAGCTATCACTGCATGTCGTAGTGTTACTGCGCTACTCTGCTACCCGACAGATCTGACCCGTTGCGGTTGAGTGCCGGCTTAGTGCACTGTGCCGAACCACTGTCCGCTCCCCGCGTAGGCTGCCTTTAGCCTTCAAGCCGTGGAAATCAAAGTCGCACCCTCAAGCTTCCAGATCCATTGCCTTGCCTCTTATGGTTCTGCGCCCTCTGGATTTCGAATTAGGGTTCTGATAAGGTCTGAGGACCTTCCAACAGGTACCACGTTGGAGGGTCTAGGTGCATCCAACACGCTCAATCCTTTGCTTCGCTCTGCAACCTAAACTCTAATCCCGAATTGTACACGTGACTGCACCCTAGCTAAGCCCGCAACTAACCATGTGGCTTTCGAACTCGGAAGGCCTTTGTGGATGACCTGCACTTGGAAGAGCCGTGCGAGCTGGATGAAGGTGATGTCGGACCGAGAAGTGGTGTACCGACTGTGGAAGGCCCGTTCAGGGTGTGTTTAGAGGGTCGGGGCGACTTAGCAAGCCTAGGGAAGTGGGCTACGGCTTTGGAAACTTGGAGTGTAGGCTGTACGGACTTGGGGATGAAGGTTGGGGATGTCAGGGTTGGGCTTAGGATGTCTAGGAGGTGGATTTAGGACTTGCACGGGGTGCAAGCTCTGGGGTTGGGGTTCAAAGCTCGAGGGTGGTCAGGACAGGAAAAAACTTTGAGAATTGCACACAAATTTTGAGTCACCCAAGAATGTGATGCCTGATGCCTTGGTCCTAAGACATCATTCGGCATTTTCCGAAATGGAGTTTCCAAAGTGATGATCACCCATCTCAACCCCAAGCACCTGAAGGACTGGACCATTTTTTAGAGACTCCCAAAACCAGCAACCCCACATGATCCTGAAGGGAAACCCTTCTTGTCTCTGTGTACTTCTTATGACATCTTGCGCATCCAGATTCATTGGGGCATGCAAATTCGGCCCATGCCCATGTAGTGTCAATGTAAGAGAAGACAGGCCCCTTCGAATACCTGTATCTTGGCCGCACTAGCATTCAAGGTTGCAGGTTTTGCTAGCTGGACGCATGTGCCCTTCGCCCCAGCGAGGCCGTGCATTTAAAGCTTTGTGGACTTGTTGGAGGGACCCTACCTTTCGGGAAACTTAGTTTGAGGTGCTCCGAAGAGCCAGGTTTTCAGCGCGTGCAGAACATGACAAGATTGCTTTGTTGTCTTGAGCCCTACAGTACGCTATCTAAGACTTCATAGCTCGGTGGGTTGACCAGCTATTCAGCTCAGGGTAGGCCGAAAAGAAGCAAGTGTCCCGGGCCCAAGAAGGTATGCCCAAAGAGCCAAGGACGAGTCCCAATGTCCAGGGTCCGAGAAGGCAGGCCTCAAGAACCAAGGCCCCAGAGCCCATGAAGGTGTGCCACGAAGAACCAAGGAAGAGTCCAAATGTGGACTTGGATCGAGTCTGTCGTTTCGGTGGCCTGGCGTCCATGGACCTACCGTGGCCCGAGGACGCCTTTGAGGGGTCGAGGCATATACTGCTTAAGACTGGGCAGGTGGTCATGGCCCTGTGCATAGTAGAAAGCAAGCCTGTGCAAATGGGGTCGCAAACTGCAAGCAACGGTTTTTGGATTTTGGATCAGTCACACCCAGCGTCTACACCACTGATCCTCTGATGCTGCGTTTCAACCCACCGCCATGAAACACATCCCTTCCCACGAACAGTAATATGCGTCCCCAATCTACAGGGTCTCTTAGAATGAATATTTCAACGTTAGAGGGTTGGCAAGGGGGCTGTTTCATACTAGGGGAAGGGACTACCGTCACAAGTCAGCCGGAACCTCTCCCAGGAAGATTCTTCCGTCTTGAAGTCCATGAATGGTGTTCTTGGGGCCCAAAGTATTCGAACAGGGTTCGGTGCACGTTGCTTTACACTATAGTTCCTATAGTTCTATATTAAGGGAGTAACCTTAGTTGTGTGCAAGTGAACGCTCATCAGCGACAGTAGTTGACAACAGTAAGGATCCCAAAAATAGATTTGGTGGAAGCGCCCTCCTGACGGGAAAATTGAGCAGTATTCAATTTAGTCCCCTATTCGATGGACTGTAGTCTTTGGAGGGGCTCCATGCTTTTGTAGGGGGCCATAGTGGAAAGGACAACAACCTGACTGATCCATGACTGCAATCATGCATGAGCGTCTAGATACGCAACAGCTGAGTACTCGGTTCTGCTATTGGTGGAGTTAGTAGCAATGCAGGTGTTGCTTAAAGCGCATGCTGGTGCAGGACGATCGCATACTTTGACCCTGGAAGCGTCTTTCATTTGTGGTAACAGCTTCAATCTTTGGAGCTTGACTTTGTAACACGGAGTACTGAGATGGTACGACCAGTAACAAGAACAAGGACGAACGATCAGGCCTCAATCTCTAACCCCTCGGCGCAAAGAGCTAAGCCCTTAGTCTTCCGCCACAAGCGTTGGCCTGTCTGTGAGGACAAGCCCGACGAGGACTCCAATGCACAGCTGCAGCAGTTGACACAGAAGAGGCCATATGCTTTAAGGTTAAGGGCGTCAACGATGGGAACATGGAAGCCGGAGGAATTATTCCTAGGACTTGGAACTTTTTGCGTACTGTGGCCCTTTGAGCCACCCAACCTACCCATCTTAGAGGCCAGGGATTCATAAACATGGGGTACCTGAGGATTTGCTGTGGGCTCTTGAAGTTTCGTTCGTGGTGCGTTTCATGGCTGCTTTTGTCTCGCAGCTTGTGGTTCTGGGCTTTGAAGCCATGTGCGGGAGATCTTAGCACCGAGGTCGAGGTGAGCTAGATTTGATTCTGGCTGTTGTACTGTTCTTTCGAGAGAAATTATGGAGTCGAACCTGCAATTTAAGGGTGTGAAAGGGTGACCCCAACTCATGGAGAAACAGCCGCAATCACTTGTCTTTTTGCCCTGCAGGTTCGATGAGCAGGATCGCGTCCTCAGGGAGGTCCATCGGACTCACTGACTGTTTGACTTGGACAGAACAGGGAAAGTACCAGACTCAGGGAGTCCCATTCGTCAATTCCTTACTTGCAACAAGCAAGTTGAGGGGACAATTGAATAACAGCATGTAGATTGCAACAGAGCCTCTGGAAAGGGATGATATGCCCAACTTCAAGACAGGTTACGGTTCTTCTCCTGAGATGGAAGACTGCACTCGCATAGTAACAGATTTTACGCTGCTGCGTATGCCACTTTTGAATGATACACGACGTAGTCACAGTTTACCAGTATACATACATGTTTGTGCTTATGCGTCCGTATCCATCATGATTCTTTGCAGACGCCGCTCTGGATTCTCCATGGTGTAATGTCACGAGATATGCTCAAAATGCAGGGTCCGTTCTTGGTGGCAATGATAGCAGGCAATTCTAGGTCGGGTTTCAAAAGGGACCCTGGTTTCTAACTAAGTCTCGATTAGAGGGATCCTGAAGTTTACAGTGTACATTACATAGCTAGGGTGTGATGATAGATAAGTGATGTAGACTCGAATATCATGGGCCCATACTTTCATCTCGGACTAAGAATTCTCCCTCGAAAGGTGTGCATCAAGCTCGGCATCCGGGCTTCTGTGACCGGCTCTTCCTCGGGCTCCATGATGGCTCATTCACAGGAGGGGCTGGACTTGGCATATCGCGACTAGAGACCGTGTCTCAATGCATCTGTCTCCCTCAGAGTGTGCCGGCACCAAGAGGTTTTCAGGCTTGGGGTTATAGGGTCACAATTTTGGACCCCTACCCAGTGCCATGGTATACTCATTCAGTATCTTGTTTTGGAAAAGACTGCTTAAGGAGCGGGAACTCCAGCCTGCTCCTCAAGGGAGCGGTGTTGGGATAGTAGTGGAAGGGTAACTTCGTGCCGTGCGAGCATGCTGGGGGTGTATGGGCGCATGTTGTGTTCAGTGCTTGGGTTGCCTGCAGGTGAGAGGATGGAGCTGCATTTGTGCTTACAAACTTGAAGCCTCGCACCGCGCGTTACATAAGTACAGTACAAGCAGCATCTGGCATGTCGCCACTTTACACTTCCGCATGTGAAGGCCTCTGATAAAGCACCGCGTCACAAACTTGATGTGGTTGAATCTTGGCTGAGCCCCAGACGGGGTCCTGTGACTTCCAGGGATCCCTTTTGTCCAAAAGTTTTTCACAGATACGTAGAGACAACGGGCATCTTGGAGGAATAGGTAGACTTCACTAGCTACCAGTGCTCGCTACTCGACAAGCTCTTCAGCTTTCACGCTTATTGCAACGGTTCCTAAAGGTTAAGCTGCTCTCCATGTCCAGGGTGGAAGGAGGTTTAGGGTTAAGGCTCGTCTTCCCTGCCCAGCCCATTGCTAGATTTACTACTGGCCCCCCAAAAGCAAACATGAAACTCAAATGGGGGGGAGCGTGCCACGCATGATGCGGTGGCTTAAGTCGCATGAGAGTATTCCATCCAGCAGCATCGAAATCATCAGAAGGGGTTTGTGCGAGAGGTGGGAAATTGGCTGCCGAATTCTAAGTAGCATGACTGCACTCCGAACTCTTGAAACCATATGTGCTTGGGTCTTCGCTTGGCTGGACCTTAGGCTTTAATCAATCTGAACCACTGAGCCCTATAGATGCTAAGCCCGAACAACAAGGAATCGCATAGACCCAACGAAGTCAAAAGTGACATGCGGCTGACCTCAAATCCACAAGGACTTGCAGAAACCTGCACAGAGGAAGCCCTATGAACCCTGAGCTCCAACCCCGAAAAATCACAGGTCAGTTGGGAGGATCAAATGTGAGCCATGAGCCCCGACAGTCTGAAACCAAAGGAACTGCGCGAAAGCCAGGTAGGGCCAAGGTACAATGATGTAGTATCCTATAGCCTTGCAGAGTTAGCATCATAGATGATACTTGTGCTTGGCAAACCCTGGACTGAGGAGTCGCAGGCGGATTCGTCGAATGACTCCCAAGGAGATCAGGCCGCTGAAGCTCCTGGGCTTGGGTTGGGGAAGTGTGGGTTTGAAAGCTTTGGGGTTTGGGGGTGTAGGGTTTTGCGTGTTAGGCTGCAGAATTGGATTCAGAGTCTAGGCTAGGGTTGACTTCAAGTGTTCAGACCTCTAAGCCAGAGAACGGCAAGCGACAGCCGAGGAGAACAGCGACGCCACGGAAATCGTAGAGGATCGAAGTGGAAACCTGAGCGTGACTAGCCCCAAGCATTTTGGCAGCTTGAGCAGCCTTACATCCTAGTTCATATATGATATTTCTTGTGGGAAGGCGCGGGGCTTAGAGGTAAACATCCTACTGTGCTATTCTAGCGCATATCCTTCCATCCTAGATTAGATTTGGTGGTTGTTGACTTGTTGACTTGTGATAAGAATCCAAACATATTGGTGACTACGCTTCTGGATCACATTGAGTCTCTGGCGATGGCGGGTACCTTCTTGTGACCTCCTACAGCTAGGATCCCATCATGTGCTCGTACATTTGGGGGGGGGGCTGTTCTGATAAATGCTCGGACAGAAGATTTAGGAACACTGCACTAGACTAGGTTTGCTTATTTTTGCGTTAATTTCAAATGGCAAGCAAGTTTGCCACACGAGCTTTCCACATTGTCTGTGGTTATATAATCTGTGCCCTTCCTCCTGGGTCCTTAAATACGGAGTATATACCCGATATGTGTGCTAGTATGGACCCCCAAAAGGCAAAGAGCCCGTGTTGGGGGCTCATGCTTCCAACCTTGAACAGTTGTTTCCGTTCACTTGCTGTGGCTTGGAACCTACTTAGTGACGGCTGCTGCCAACGCTGACTGCCGCAGGTACCTTGCTAGACCTACATCTTCACTACGAGTGTCTATGAGAACATATTCGCAAACTAGGACTTGTAACACGGGATCGCAGGCTGCGAGCACGCAGGTGCTGTCACAGCTGTCAGCGAGCTTGAAGAGTTTTGGTTTCGAGGATCTTTAACCATATGCTCTAAACCTTAAACTCTATGCTAGGATGCATTTGGCTGCAATTGCAAGAGCTGATGTTTCAGTCCAAGACTTTCTCTTGCAAAGGGAATCTCGGAAGATGGCGCTGGAGATGCTGCAGTCATGACCTACCCTAAGGGTCCAAGGACCCAAATAATAGGGTTTTAGGGCCCAAGTACTATATTATTAATGGCATTTGGGCCCAAAGCCCCATTATTTGGGTCCTTGGACCCTTAGGGCTAGTTACTTGCAGTTTGGGACGTTGATGTATGTGGTTGTCCTTATCATGGTTTCGGTGGGTGTATGTACGGTGTCATATCAATGTTACAGCGGTCTGTTGCGTAGACCTGCACCGTCCAGCTTCACCCCATCTACATCGGAGCCCATATAGACACGAACTGACTGGAGAGTAGTCTTTGCAGGGCTTTTTTGTGCTTCCATGTTAATTTGGAGGAGTCCATGCTCTAAACAAGCCAAATACACATCCCTGTAGTTCCCTACAAAGAGACATCCGCATTGACATGCACTTTTGGCCCTGACCTCGCTGGCCATTGCAGGATCCACGCCCCGTCCGAATCCCTTCTGGATTCGCCCCTGGTGCCTAGCAGGGTTTAGGGCTTAGGTCTTGAGGGAATGGATCGTGGGTATGGATAGTTTCTCAGAATCAACATGGGCTAGTTTTCGGATTCATGGCCTCCATTACTTCCTACCGAGTCAAGGGACCCTGGAGGTAGCCAGGTAGGAACTGCACTAATTCCAGAAGTTACCAAAGTGAACCCCTTTGTAACTTGGATCCACCAAAACCGTTGTTTTCCCGCAGGTACTCAGAAGCCCAATGCTAGTTGTATCTTCAAACTTTTCCAAAGGCGTAGTGCTGCGGCCACTGTGGTCAAACTTACACTAGTCGAAGCCTTATTTGCGGTACTTACCACTACCCGCGAACAGCTAATCAGTATACCCCACTTGGGATCGCTGAAGCCAGAACATGTCATATGTATATACACAGATCGTGCATGTTTATCAGTCACATACACGTGTGGACGGCTGTTGGAAGTAGAGTTTAAGGGCTGGGGCATTGGATGTTGTTCTTGCGTAGGAAAGACTACTTCAGTTCCTATTAATCATCTCCCTCATAGTAAGCATCGCCCCACCCTTCAACATGAAATATGCCCCCGATCATATCGGGATAGGGCATATTCGAGATCTCGTAAGAGATGGGAGGGGTGGGGGGGGGGGGGGGG